AATATTTACGTTAAGGATTACAGGTATCTGAATTATTATTTATGCAAATTTATGAATATAAGATATTGCCTTTATCAGTGGCGACTCGTGGCTGTCTAATATGGGGGTGCTGTCCCAGGAGGAAGATAGGCACACAACTAATAGAATAGTTTTGATTTCATATATTGTTTTGATCGGCGCTAGTTTTGATAAAAACATTAACTTTTAACAGTGTATAAGTTTTTAATTACTGTGTATTAAAAATTGAGACATCGTTGGTAATTCTATTTTTCTTCACTCGTGATAAGCCACTTCCACAGGGCTTATCAAGAGTGCCAACCTTAATCAAACTATTTAATAATTTAGCATCAATTGTTGTATATAAATCTAGATAAATTTGCAAACATCAGAATAGCAAACACTTTTTAGAAAATTGCTAATGAATATTAATATATTTTAATTAACAATGTGTATTTGGATAAATGTATTAATTATTACATTTTTATATTACTAATATTTGCTCCTGATGCACAGAGTGATTCATTGCAGCAGAACATATGCAATTTTTTTCTGGCATATGTTTCGAATTAATGTTATGCAATAAATGCTGGGAACATAGTTACTGTAATCATAAATAAGTTCTATAATTAACTCTAATGTAATGTTTAATTGGCAAAACTCCAACTATTTAATATTGTCAAGTTAATAAATTGATTTTGCATTTAAAAAATAAAATATTTTTGCAAAATATAAAAATAATTCTAAAATTTTAAACTTCTTATTTTTTCATTAATAGGTAATATTAGAAAGAAGAAAAGATCAACCACTTTTCACGATACTTCTCGCAGACGACGATCAAGTTGACAAAGAAATTAAACCATCCAATGCATTTGATGAGAAACATGAAAATATTTATTTACTTGTAGGAAATAAGGTTTGTTATTTATATTTATCAAACATAAAAAAATAACAGTAATAATATATATTACAGAAATTGAACAGTGATAGTGTTTTTCTACAATTTTTAGAGAGTAAAAATTATTAGCATTTTATCTGTTCGTTTGCCCGTATATTTTTATGTATAACTCGAAATAATTTAAAATAAAAACCTAAATTTATCATAATAGTTTTAGAGGCATATCTTACAGATGGAATAAACTTCTACAAAAGTTAAAAATTCTTAATTTTATTCAAATTTTATTGCTTTTAGTTCCACTATAGCATAAATTCTAATATTATAATTTACAATAATTTTATACATATTTTCAAAATTAATTGATTTTGAAAAGACTTATATTTATGGAAAAATATTGTCATAATTTTGTGAATTACTATAAACATTAAAGCTATAAGTAGCATTGAAAATAAGTGAAAATAAATGTATAAATTAGCATTAAGTTTTGAAAACTTTCAATGATTGTTTTATATATTTATATAAGTAAGATTTAAGGTTAAACTCATTAAAGTTTTCTTCAATTATTTTTATCATATAATATATTTATAGATTATATATTATTATGGATTAGCTAAAATATATTTCCAAATTTAAAAAATATTTCAGGTAGTAAAATATCCCATTAGCTCCTGCACTGTATATACAAAATGTGGTTCGTGTCTTAGTACAGATGATCCTCTACATTGCGGATGGTGCGGTTCTTACTGCGCTCATGTTGACGAATGCGAAACACCACCAATTAACACGTCTACTTGTCCTCCTTTCATTGACAAAGTAATTTAAATCATTATTTATATTTTTTAATATAATATTTTAAAAATAGTAATTAATTATATCTATTACATATTAATATAAAATCTTATGTAAAAACTCATATAATTTTATTTAAATACAGGTTTCTCCGTTAATGGGCCCAATTCAAGGTGGAACACTGATAACTATCGAAGGTGATAACTTTAGTACTTCTCAAAGTAAAGCTAATGTCTATATAAATATAGCAGTAGCTGGTGTTCCATGTGAAATTGTATCTTGGGAGTACACAAGGTTTGTATTTTTCGATTTTTAATCACAATTTAGTATCAGCATATTTTATATAAAAATTAGATGAGTACAAGTTTAATATGAAAGTTTAGACTACTATTAACATTTAAATTAATTTTAATATAAGAAATGGAAAGCTAAATTTACAGCATTAAAAGATCTGTCATCATATTTCATAGGTTAGAATTTAAATGCATATCCATTATTTGCTTTTATGTACAAAAGTAGGATTCGAATACATCAATATAGTTTATTAAACTATTATCGATTTTTACTTTTCCCAAGATAAAAGAAACCTACAAAATAAAATCTAAATTATGGAATAGCATCAAAATTAAATATTAAAGAAAGTAGATGCAGTATTTAACTACTGTTTTCTCTTTATTTGGTATCCAATAAATTAATAAAAATTTTATTTTTGAAGCATGTTAAGATCGTTTCTCTCTAATTAACGATTTTAATATACTGTATAGTGTTTAAAGCTATTAATGAAATGGTTTTAACATTACATATGGTTTTCGAATAGTTGTAATATAAATATTATTAAAAATTTATTTTAAACTTCATTCAAAAAAACATATAACGGGTAAAACATATTTTGAGTTTATAATTCTTTAAATGATAATTTTGACATAAATTCAGTTTTTATTAATTATTATAATATAATATATCTTTATATATAAGTTTATTATCGAAAGGAATAATTTCCCTGTTACAAGGGGATACATATTAATTATTATAACTATTATATAATATGTAATGATTGTTTTATTAAAAGTAATTCCAAACTATCCGAAATAATTTTAATCAATAAAAACTAAAAAGGAAAGAATATGCAAAAAGTCTGTTATATGCATACAAACAAAAGTCTCTTTATGAATACATAAAGTAAAATAAAGCATCGAGATAAGTTAATTAACTAGATGCATATTATCTAGTTGAAAAATTTAAATGAAATTGCTCCTAATAAATGCTAATATAGTTTCCTTATATTCTTTTTTAATAAGTTATGTGTCATAAAATATTATCTACTTGTATATTTCATTAATCACAAATTTTAAAAGATTTTTATTTTATATTTAGGGCTTGTAGCAAAGTATTGGTACGTTTAAAAGTAGTCTATATATTATTTATTTAATTTTGATATAGTTCTACTCTATAATCTAATCGTAGCCATTTATTTGAATATAGTTAATTTTTTAAAGTTATAAACATAATTTATTTTTTAAAGTTAAAATAAAATATAATTAGTAATAGAAAGTCATTAAAACCTGTAGCCTGTACATTATAAAATTCATCTGTCATTTACTTATTTTAATTTCTGCGGCTATTAAAAAGTAAGATACTATTAAACAACCTTTGTTTTAACAGTATAAAAGTTATTCGACACAATTTTTGAACTATACAGCTGTATTTGCAATATAGGGGAGATCGGGGCAAGATCGGCATGTTAAGCTTTACTTAAATTTTGTGTAATAAATACTGCTGTAAACTGAAAAAAAAGCTTTGCATATTGTCTATTGGAATGTTACCTTACTATAGAACTGGTTAAAATCAGTTTGGAAATAAAAATAATTAAAATAATTACAACTTTACAAGAAGAGAGAAATTGACGAAGTTGCCCCGGGTATAGGGGCAAGATCGGCAACTTCTCTCTTTTTGTAAAGTTGTAATTATTTTAATTATTTTTATTAAAGTTGCCCCTGGTATAGGGGCAACAGTAATGGGGCAAGATAGGCACGTATATAAAATTATGTTATTAACAATGTATAAGTTGGAATTCACTATTAAAACAAAGAAATACAAATCCAACACCCATTTAATATTATTACAACGAAATGCAAGTTCAAAGACATATATACATGAATAACAAATGCAAACATGTTTTCATTTATCATCTGTTTGATTTTTATCCTTTGCTTCTAATGTGGCTTTATGTTGCCGATCTTACCCCGCTAGTCATGATTTCGAAACATTAAGTACAACCCTGAGAACAGAATGCCAAGCCACGATCTGGCCACGTGAATAAGTTGAAGTTACATCCTTCTAACAGGAAAAGTAACTTTCGTTATCATGGAATTATAACAAAACCTGCCAATTCAATATAAATGGAAAAAAAATATTATATGGAATTGAACGAAAATGAAAATTTGCTTGATAATTCAACTACGCTTGTTGGAGAACAATAAAAACACTACACTCAACAAGCCACCAATAAAACTCAACTGCCTAACCCATAACCAAAGTCTCCTTTTAATTTGTTTTTAAAAAAAAGCGCTTGACAAACTTGCCCCGCATGCCGAAGTTGCCCCGGTCTCCCCTATCTTAAGTTTATTGAAAAATGAAAGAAAGATAAGTAATTATTTATTGTGACATCGTCACAATGCCAGGCTGCAATTTTTAATCATATTTTAAATTTATTTCATTTAAAATATATGTTCTCCACCTCAAATTAGTAGTGGCTTGTCCCTGTACAGTACATCATACTTTTTCTTTACCAATAGAGTCATGCAGGGCATCTATGTAACACCTTTCAGGGGAAAATTTTTGAATTGAAATAACGTAACTTTCGATTTGTATCAGAAGTTCATATATAGTTAATCGGGGCCTCCTGTCCACATCTGGTTTTGTCTTTCATCTCCCTAACTTTATTCTCGAGATCAAGGAAGGACAGACGGACGACAGTGGGAATTTATGGGTCTACAATTTTTTCAAATTGCAGCCCCCAAAAATATATGATAAGTAATCAAAGACGTTCCATTCTTTTAAAAATTACAGGCAAAAACTAGAAGTTTCTCTCTCTCTCTCTCTCCCTCTCGTGTTTTCATTATTGTGGACTAATAATTAACTTCGCAAAAGTTTGACAAAATTCTCAATAACAGTTTACTTTATTGGGCTGCAATTTGAAAAATTGTAGACCTATAAATTCTCAGTGTTTAAATAAATATAAATCAATTATATAAATACTTCAAAATTGAAAGTGTGATAACAATACATTTAAAAGTTAATTTGATGCTGTTTTTATAAAATAAAATGAAAATATTTTCTATTAATTGTTACGGACAGCTATTAAATATTTGCGTTAAAACCAAACTAATCTAAATTTAAATGAATTGTGTTGACTGCTGTTGCGCTTTCCCATGAAGAAATAAATCTAAAGCCATGGACTGTAGAATAAATTAGAGGAGATGGAGGTTTTTGATTTTATTCAAATAAATTCGTTTAATTTTATCATACATTGTTTAAGTTCTTTTGGAAAATAGATTGTAACTTATTTTAAATGATAAATTAATTTTTAAAATTCGTTAATCACACTAAATTTTAAAATTTTAAATAATTAAATAGTTGTGAAACATAAATTTTATTGCAGGAAAACAAAGTAAAAAGTCTTACAAAAAATTTCGCACTCATTCCATTACTTTATGATTTTGAATGAATGAAGAGAACTCGTTACTGTATTTCGAAATAAATACAGTAACAAGTTCTCTTCATTCATTAAAAAAATATCAATTTTCTATTTCACTGCACAGTTTGCATTTCATGAACATTTATATACAAATAGTAATAGAATAGACTAAGTTACTTTTCTATAGTGATTTCTATTAACAAAAGATTCATTTAGTGATTAATATTTTAAAAATCGTAAATGGTAATATTTTCACGAAAAAATGTATTAGAAAAAATCATATTTCTTTAATTTAATTTCTCATTCGTTAAAAACAAGAAGAGAAAATTGATTCAGATTATTACTAATGCGTTATCCTCATAAAAATTATAAATGACAATTATAATTTTTTATAATGTCACTTTGTAAAAAGCAATGTTTTATTGGAAAATAAATGAAATTTAGTTAAGATACAGAGTTATTAATTTTATATGTTTAATAAACACACTTAAAATTGGCCTAGTTTGCTTTACTTAGGTATTTTAATAATGCCAGAACCACTTCAGCTTTACTAAAATGCACTCAATGACTCATGAACTTTTATCTAATACTTAAAAGATAAATGGATTTCTTTTTATTTGGTTGTAGAAATTTATCAAATCTATAAATGCGAGCATTTTTATATTGAATCGCGATGAAATATAAATTTTTATAAATATAACAATAGAAATTATATTTGAGATATTTTTTTCAAAGTATCCGTTACGCAATTACGAAGTTTGCACGCATTTTTATACAATTTCCGTGAATTATTAGAGCGTAATAAGTTTATATATTAATTTTTTATATATCTGTATTAATTAGTTATATTTGTAATCCATCGAAGGTTACAAATAACGATATATGAAACTATTTTAGTACGTAGAATATCAACGTTAGTAGACTACGGAAGCAAACGCTGGAGGAATGCAGTTTTCTACGAAATGGGATCACTCACTTTAACCAGAATGGCTGTTGATAAAGAAAATTGTCTTATATACAGTTACATGATAGATATAACTAGTAGCTGACACGATCAACTCGACGACAAAAATTATAATTAAAACATATATGTAAAATTTATTTCTTGAATTTAAGATAATATTTAATCTAAGATGCGTATGGAATTATTATTGTTTCATTAATAATTAATATAGTAACTAATGTTTCTTATTTTGGATGATTTCTTAAAATTTTTTAATTAAAAAATTTATAAATTGTTTTTATGATATCTTTGTCTTTTTCTTCACTTGATTTAATAATTTTCCATAAAAATACTTATTTTATTATCTTTGAAATGATTTTCTTGCCCCAGAAATTAATTGTAAAAAGAATATTTCTCAATAATTGACTTAAAAAGGGTAATATGAAATCAAATTATCTTGGTAATTATAAATGTATTTATTAACTGTAGATGTTAAGTATCAAAAGCTATGATTAGCTTATTAATAATGCAGACTGTAAATTATTAATAAATTAATAATTGAACTAAAATATTATCTCAGTTAAAATTCAGTTATAAAGCATAAGACTAGTGAAACCTTACCTCTTTTTTCTTTCAGTATCATTATTAAATCAGATCAATACTTTTTTAAAAAAACAGCTATTTTATTCTTTTCCTTCATAAGCAATGCATTTCTTTATGTCTATGTTTTATAACTGAATTTTAACTTAAATTTTTATATCCGTTCCATTGAACATTTTAAAAAATTTTTATCAATTTTGAAAAAAAAGACTTTTTAAATAAACGATAAAATATCATCATTTAGAAATATAATAGATTCTTAATACAGTAGAATCTCGAAAACTCGGCTAATGTGGACCGAAGGGTGGCCGAGTTTGTGAAAATGCCGGGTTATCGGGAATGGGGTTAAAAAAAATAAGTACGAGTGTTTCCTCAGAAAATACTGTACTGTACTTGTATGTATTGTTTACTTGAGAATATAACAGAGAATAAACTGCCCAAATACCCTTAAACAAAGGAAAAGTAC